TATCGAATTCGTAGATTTAATATCTGATTTGCTTTTTGTTTCAGCATCTTTCTTGGCACTATAATTCACTACAGCATTTACAACTGTTCGACTAGATGTTTGGAAGTCGATTTCTACTGCAGCATTATGTGATCTTTTACTATCCGAAACATTTGCTTCTTCTTCTTTTGTCCTGTGCTTTTCGTATTTGTTATTTTTGCACGAATTACCGCTCTCTCTATCTTCAATATCGCTCGACACATATCTGGACGTATCTCTCAGATTACTGCGCTCTCTGCTGCGACATTTTGTTTTATCGTCTCCCTTGCTGTTGTAGTCTCTCTTTGATCTCTCGCTTCTGTACCGACTGTCGTTTTTACAATCGTCATACTTCCTATTTCTGTAAGTACTATTCGATCTTATCCGTAAATGATTGTTGCTCAGACTCTCTTGATTACTTCTGCTTCTAGAATAACTTCTACTGCGCGAGTTATATCTATAATTACTTTCCTTGTAGCCGCTGTTAGATCTTTCTGAGACTGAGGTGGTCCAATGTCTGTCAATAGATTTCCTTCTGATATTATCGCGATCTCTCGAATTACTTCTCCTTCTTTTTCTCCCTTCATTTGTACAATATTGATCCTGTTTTACATCCTTGTGCTCAGAAATTGCTCTGTGTCTCGCATCAAAGGAGACTTGTTCTTTTTTAAAGGAATGTACAGCATCCAATCGATCTTCTAATTTCACAGGATTATCTTTTATCTCATTTTGCACAAAACTATTCGGATTAGACTGCACAATGAAATTATAATTAGATTTTCCGGTCGCATTCTTATCATCTTCAATCTTAAAACGCTTGGTCTCATGCGTATCATCCTCTTCACTCATCCTCCTTTCTGAATTATTTCTGTAGGAAATTTCTACAAAAATTATAATTGATTTATTATATTTCTAGAATAAGTGATTTATTTCATTTGATTATCTTTAATCATATTTAAGATTTACACAAAAGATTCAAACATTTGTATGTAATCTCACTTATAGTATTTTCTTTAAAAAAATCTAAATATTTCTCATCTTTTGACAATACAAAGTAAACTGCCCCCTTAAAAAGCATGATATTCATTTTAATATCAATCGTTAAGAGGTTTTTACATTAAAATTTCTCCTATTAAATAGTAGTATAAAAGCTAATAGCTATTTTATATAAATTTTTACAGTAGTAACATATATAATCACATGAAAATAAAATCTTTACCTGAAATAGAGTTTTTCATAGCAATATTAGATTCATTGCCATTATTTATGTTGGGTTGAGAACCATTTTCCTTATCACTTTCCACAATATTCTCTTTTGAAGTCTCCTTTGTATTAATTTCTGGATTAAGCTTCAACGATATTACCTTTTTTTCCTCTTTTTCTTCTTTTATAATTTTTTTATGTAGTCTTTCTCCAAATACTGTGGATATTTGATCAACGCTTTTCTCTGACCTTATGCTTTTATATTTGCTGCGATGCAGTTCAGTTTGATTCAATTTATCATTTTCATTTTCATATGAATGGATAGAAGAAACACTTTCATAAGTTTTGGTAATTGTGGACATCTGATGTGATGGTTTGTGAGCAGAAAAACTTTGAGATTCACCTTTATTATTTCTTCTAAAGGCTACATCATCCAATCTAAAATCAATAAATCATTTTGATGACATTGGAAAGATATTTTGAAATATTATAATGATATAAAATTTATACCGTTTTCTAAGATCATCTATCATCTTGTCCTTCCGTACAATTTCAGCCTTAGCAGTTTTTAGCAAAGAAAACAGATTATTTTCCAAGTTCTCCTTCGCCTTCTGAATATTTTCGAGTGTGCTTTTGAGTAAATCAAGTTCTTTCTTTATATCCTCACAATTGCAAGATTGGCCCTTCACAATGATTTAAGAATATCAATTGATTATCTGACAAACGTAATAGTAGTATATAAAATTAAAAAAAAAGTTTTTGTGATATAGCATAGATATAATATTGATATAATATAGCGATATAATATATAGTTTTTCTACAATCATGCTTGTTGTTTGAATTGCATTATTTAAAATGCAACACCTGGTATATGTATAAGTTTCCAAAACGTAATAAACACAAATATAATATCAATATATATTGAATGCTATTTTATGCTCCTGATAAAGTCAGTGCTAATTGTTTAATATTATTAATGATATTGTTATATATATATATATTAACGATTCTTACTATTTTTGTCAGAAGTTAAACTCGGCAAGTCCGCATAAATATCGATATCATCCTCCATTGTCTGCGATTATCAATTCATTCCCCCGAAAATATCATACTATGATATTTTCTTACGCAATTGAACTGTTAAATTTGCGTAAACTGCAGCTGATTTTGACAATACATGTTTTAGAACACACGTAACTCATTTACTAAACTATGTCCACAAATACCGCGTCATATAATCCATAGAGCTATATAACATATTAGAGTGAGCCCCAAGTGAGTCTTCGCCGCAAGAACAAGTGTGTAGTACGCGACTCAAAGATAACAATCATAAGCGGGGATGTTTGTCTTTCTCCTGCATTCACTATCGTGTATGATGGGGGATATGAAAAACAAAGACAGACATGAGACAGACATCCCCACTCAGCAGAGAAAGTGAAGCTACCCCCACTTTTTCAAGGCTCACGCAGGTGTGCGTAGAGCTCAATGATATAACCCTAAATGCGCAGTATTTCTTTTTGAATGTTGGCAGCTCTGAATCCGGAGCTTCGCATCTTTCCCGCATGAGGTCTTCAACATCTATTTCGGATTCAGCCCGTCACTTTTGTATACTCTTAACGTTCGCAACGGAATAGCAGCATCCGCTAATTTCGTGGTCATGCCTGTATAGTTGTGCTTGCGTTTGTGTGTATTATAAGCGTACTTTCGCGTTTCCTAGTAACGTAGCGCGCAAGTGTATCGCGCGTATCGACGGTCAACGACGCGTAGCGTCGGCCGAACGACGGACTTGGGCAACATCGGTGACAGTCGGTGACGGTGGCGACTGGCGACGATTCTCGAGCACGCCCGACGTAAAACGTCACTCGTGTGGTTTGCGCTTTTGTGACACGGATTTTCTCAGTGCCGCGAGGCGACGCGTGCGACGAAAAACGTGATATCGCACGGTTATTTGTGCGCGTTTTTCTCCGTTTGCGGCTCTCTATCGTCGACGCGGCGCGTTTTTCAATCGTCGAACGTGTCTAGATATGCGCGGTAAGCAAACGCACGACGCGGCGGATCGGCGATCGGCAGTTGCAAAGCTGTGCGAGGTCCTTGGCGCGTATTGGTGAGCTTGCGCGGCGTGGCCGCCAGTGTAGTGGTGGTAATAGTAATAGTGGAATTTTCAAGGAGAAACTCGGAGAAACCACGTTTATCCCTGGGTCTACAGGTAAACATGCATCACGCGTAGTATGTACCTAAAGTATGGCAACGGCACGCGTAATGCGAGACTCGCGCATTCTTTTATCTCCCCGCGGCTATGCGACACAACACGGGTCGCCGCGACATGAAGCATCGGCGGACCTGTTGATATCGCGTGCTTATCTCGGCGACACTGCGAGCTGAAACTCGTTACGAATCGCGATCGCGATAGCGATATCGCCAATTATCGCCTGGTTTACATTTTCGCACGAACCATCTGAGATTTGTCGGAATTAATATTTACTTGACTCTGCAGAAATTCAAATTGCGTCGCGTATTTTGAAAATCTTCACGAAAGGTCCACGATTATTTTGCGCATTACCTGCAGTGGCAGTTTGGACAATGTAAAACCAGTGTCCGTAATGCCGGAAATCGGTCCGAGTTCTCGAACCGAGAAAATGTTAATTTTTATTTAAAGAACACGCATGTTTTTATCGTTGACAATTTTTGTACATGAAAATTCTGAATCATTTAATTATGGATTTCTTATATATTTAGATTTTTCGAAAACAATCAAAAATCGATATTCTAGATGGATATATATAAAACTATTGTAAATTCTTTCTCACATTCCCAGTGCTATGTACTATACGGATTTAAGCACTTGGAGGTATTCGATGTAATAACGATGCAATGATGTAACAATATATTTGCGATCTTTATGCTTCTGCGGCTTCTTTTGCAGTGCCGTAAGAAAGATTTATGAAGCTGGTATTTGCATCTTGCAGTGCTTTTGTTCCCTTTTCGAAATATGCAAACCGCGGATCAAAATTCTTATGTACGATCAATCACACTTTTGCTGAAATAGCGTAATGCATAGAAAGTATGAATAAGTAGAAAGTATTCACGGTGTGTTACCGTGCGTGTTCATGGTTAGTCTAATCCCGCAAACGCGAAAGTGCGACGATAAAAACTCGCGTAGTCTATAATATTTTGGCGAATAAACCGCTAGTAAGGATTATCGATAAAAAAAAATATAACCGAATTATATCAATTTAAGCCGTACTGATCGTATAAAAATTTATTTTATCCAAAGTATTTTTCTCCGGCATCGACATAAAATCGCGTACAGCTAATCAATGCGCGGATAGACTTTAGGAGGTCTTTGAGAATCCTTGCTGCGATTGCTCGGATGACTGGGGAGAAAGTACGCGCGATGAATACTTTTTGTATTAATTTGCAGCATCGCGTATTTGATGACAGGAACATTTATAGATTAAGAATGATAGACGAAGAATGAGAGGGGCGAGGGGAGGTGCAGAGGAGGGTACAATACTCTTTTTCCGCGGGAATGTTCATTACGGAACGTACACAAAGTGGCGATATCTAAAAACACATAGCAAGACAGGAAACGGCCGTTTAAACGCAATGAAGAAGTCATTAGTATGCACATCGTCTATGATATACATATATTAACACGATAGCGTAATACGGTTTTGTTTTATACAATTAAACACTTGACAATTGCCAGTGCTGGAAGGATCAGCGGCATCTCTTCAATCAGAACTGTGGAATTTTTATGTCAGATTGCTAGCTTCGCACACCTGTTATTATGCGATCGCGTTTTTTATATCATATCGTCTTGTACACGAACACATCTACGAAGCATCTGCTGATCCCGTCCGAACACTTCCGCGAGGCCGGCTATTACATTCTTATTGATTATTTTTCGCGTTTTACCGGTTTTTTTCGAGGATAAAATCCGTATTGCTCGTTTAGTCATTTGCGCAATTAACTCAACTTTTCTATCGACTGAATGACATGAGAATATTCTTCCACTGTTTCCGGTGCGTCGTTGACTAAGCACGACGAGCAGTCTAGAGCACGATACATACAACAATTACATGCATCACTGAATTTCATGGTGACGGCACGAACGGTACAATCTATCAATTGTTTCTAAATTAGTATTACAAGTTCAAGTTTCAAGATATTGAGATTCCATGTTTTCAGCCGTTGTAAATATTTTTGGAGGTTATGCCAGTCTCGCAAAATAATTTGTGAATGTTAAAAATTTGATGAACGTATATAAGCTGAAGAACTAACAACACCTTTCGACTGTGGTCAGTTTGTATTATTACCTGGGAATTTCTAGTGTCCGAGCAACTTCGATAGTTTAGATCTCTCAAGATCGAACGACAAACACCCCAAACTTTTTTTATTCTAAATAAATTCGTCTTATTGCAAGTATGTGTGTTGCACTGAAATATTTTAAGTATTATCAAAACGAGCGCGTTATCATGCAAGTGCATGATAGGAGAGAAAGGAATGGATAGATAATGAACAAGGAGAAACAGAAAGGTGTAATACAAACCTGAGAAATTTGATATAATGCGGTTCACGTCACGATGTAATGGAAGAAAGCAGGCGGAAGAAATGGACAATACGCAACAGGGCGGAACGGAATCGCAAGCAGTGGAATCATCTCTAAAATTCTCCAAATACACATGAAAAAAAAAATTGAAACCACCAACTTACCGCTTAACGCGCGCGTTCTACGATCAATCGTTCGGCCCGGAGCGATCGCGGAGCATTTTTTATGTCAAAAAAGAACATATTTTGCGTGGTTCGATCATGAAGATATCGCGAAACGGTTTTAACGTTCACCAGGACCTGTCGAGGGGGGAGGACGGATGTCCGCGAGGAAAGTTCCCCACTTTCTCGGGATCCATTGAAGTTACATCGTCGATTTGTCAGTCGCTTTGCCGTACCCGACGTGAGTGAACGTACGGTGGTTATCGCGCGTGGAATTCAACGAGTGCCATTGGGTGTGGCGGCGGCGGCGGCAGCGGCGGCGAGTTGTTGCACACCATTGTCGAATGAATCGCGAGTGAGCGACACGCACGCAGTGTGTATGATATATTGGGAACGTTGCCAAAAAGTTTTCAATGCGAACTCCGTTCTTTTTACACGCAAAAAAAAAAAACACGAATTTCTTACTTGCACGAATAAATTCCGTTTTACCGCCTAATTTCATACGAAAGTGAAAAGAAAGAAAACATTTAAGCATAAAACGGAGCATTTATTGGAATACTCGGTATGAATAGAGTAAATACGAACTAACCTTGAGTTGAAATTCTTTAGAAAGCTATTGTTAAGAGAATCACTTTTTTAGGTTTTCGTTCAAAACTTTTACGAAGGATAATTGAAGCATTGATCATTTTGTATCGAGCTATTGGCAAAATCAATTTTTACATTAATCGCAACAATTTCGATGTTTAAAGTGTGAGTTTTGTAAGAACTGTGGATTCCGTTCCCGGGAAATGTAGTGATGGATTGACTTCGTGAATCGACGACGAGAAATGCGAGAAATGCGAAAAAAGCATTTTCTCAAGGTTGAAAAAATGACCGTACCTGAGTGAGTACAATACCAAAATAAAGTGACTTCAAAGCAATAGAGCTAGTAATAAATGCGATATTTATAACTGTGTTCTCTTGTGCGCGACTAAAGTAGAGAAACATTAGGACGTTTGCAATTTTTGGGTCAATTATTTGCCAATTAATTATAAAATAAAATTATAAGGGCGAAAGATAGGGATAAGAAAAAAGTTAGAATAATATAAACCGAAAAGGGTTAAACGGAACTCAGCGGGTGATTTGCTTTGAAATTGTTGGTAAACGAATGTCTGTGAAGCTAACAGTGCCAACTTCACAAACATAAAACGCGACGAAAAAACGTGCAGCACAATATTTATAAATTTCCAACTGTATATATAAGATTGACAATAAGACCGATTGTGCGTGAACTAAAAACCTGCGACAATGTGTAAGAACATTTTGAAAAGGGGCACGTATCTCTGTGAAAGACGGACAGGCTTGATCACTATAGGTGTATAAAGATTAAAAGGAGATAGCGTATCGTCTGGAACCGTAAATGAGCCTTTAGAAATGCAGAGGCTTGTCTTCGTTTTGTGACCGGTGTTTACCGACTCCGCGGCACTAAAGCCCTGAATGCTTGCCGGTAGCTCGTAACAGACATGTTTTTTTCTCATCTTACGGTGCGTAGTAATAGTCAAAAATGAGATAGTGGCCGAAAGAGAGGAAAAGTTACGCTTGTAAGAGCTGTTTGATATAAGTAGGTATTTAAAAAAATGGGTTGGTCTCGCCACTCATTTGGATTCAAGAAATTTTCTTCAAATTTTTCCTGTAATATTTAATAGACGTACTTTCTCGCTTAAGTAGTCGATTGCACGGTTTAATTGCTTCACGTTCGCGTAGATAATAAAAAGAATTGGTGAGTCACTCTTATGGATATGAGAAGCAATAATGCATCTGATTGTACGCGTGCGCTTAGAGGAGATATGTACCTTTCGTCTTGAACGCATTATGCGCAGGGTGTTCGATTTAATCTGCCAGTACTTTAGAAACGAATAAACTTAGACGAAAAATAAAAAGAGCACTCTTAATGAAGTTACTCGGAGATGATTTTCAGTGTGACGAAATGAGTCAATCGATTAATTTCAAATTTTTATTGTTATAAAGTAGACAGTTTTAACTAATAAACCTAAAACTTATAAAAATAAAAATTATTTTTAATAACTTTGCAATGACAAAAATTGGAGCGCCGCCACTTTGTGAATTTTTGTTTGCTTTTTTTAATTTTTTAGATTCATGCACTGGATTATTTAATTAATTTTGTTTTAATATTGTAGTTTATATATCGTGTTTTTTAGGATGGCAACGGAATTGGCGAACAAGAAAGCAGAGCGAGAAGCTCTCAGAGGAGTCATACAACAGTGGAATGCCAATCGTTTAGATTTGTTCGAACTTTCGGAGCCTAACGAAGTGAGTATCGCCGATGCGACTGTAAATTGCATTTAAAGTTTTATACTACCTTAAAGTTTATATTATTTCTTTTATTGCAGGATCTGGAGTTTCATGGGGTAATGAGATTTTACTTTCAAGACAGCGGCCAGAAGGTTGCTACCAAATGCATCAGGGTTGCTTCGGATGCGACCAGTCAGGCGGTAATAGAAACGCTCATTGAAAAATTTCGTCCTGATATGAGAATGTTATCTATTCCTGAATACGCTCTTTATGAAATTCATGAGAATGGAGGTAAGCGGAATTGTTTACATTGTATCATAGAACAAAATTTAATTGGATGACTGAAAAATACAGATTATACTGTTGAATTATGCGTATAAATACGATCTAAATTTAATATAATGAAATTTTCTTTTTATCCATAGAAGAGCGTAAACTTGGCTTAGAAGAGAAACCTTTGCTCGTACAATTAAATTGGCATATAGACGACCGTGAGGGACGCTTCTTATTGAGAAGAATTGATGATAAAACTAATGCGCAGGGTGTCGGCCTTATTTCGGACGGTTCTAGCTTCCGAAGAAAGCTGAGCAAGCGGGAAAAGAAGCAGATCAAAAAACAAGAAAAGCTCAGTCGACTGAAGAGCTTGGAGCAGGATGAGAATGCTGCACCTGGCGATCAGAACGGCGTCGCTGAGAAGCTCTACACGGGTTAGCTAATTTTATTTTTATATTATTTGTCTGAATTTATCAAATAGTTGGAACTTTTCTAAAAATATGTGCGATTAAAGAGAATTTATTGTTGTAATATTTTCTAATGACATTTTAATTCAGTAGGTTGCGTAAATGCAATCAGGTCAACTACTGATAACCGCATTATTATACTATTTAAAGAAAATTATAAATCAAAATACTTTCTCAGATTATTTTCTTCTGATTTTAATGATGATGGCGCTTTCAGAGCTACCTGAAACCAGTTTCACGAGAAGCATCTCGAATCCAGAAGCGGTGATGAGGCGCCGTCGTCAACAGAAACTAGAGAGGAAGCTCCAGCAATTTCGCAGCAAAGACGGCGGCCCCGACACGGGTGGCACGTTGAAAATTTATGGCGAGGCGTTGTGCAAGGATGTGCCATACAAAACGCTGTTGCTCAGTGTACGAGATTCCGCCGCTCAGGTTGTGCGAGAGATGCTTTCTAAGTACGGCCTAGATAAAGTGGATTCACAATTATATTGTCTTGTGCAGGTTAGCATATGTGATTATTATTTATCCGCGGACAAAATGTTATATACGAGAAATGGATAATTTAAAAATGATGCAAGCTGATTCAGACTCTGAATAATTAAAAAATAATATGAAAAAGATGGAATAGAGAGCATTGTGCATGTTTTTTTATGTTTGAAATTATGGATATAATTTCCACAAATAGAAAGATGGGAATGTTACGATCGCAGATTGGATTATCGGTAAAAAAATAACTAATAATGTGGTCCTTAGATTCCATAATTGTCAAAAGTTAAAAATAGCAAATTAAATTAATTAATTGTAGTTGAATGAAACAAATACTCAAATTAAAATACGAGATATAAACGCACCAGATGATCTCCACATCTTGAAGAATATCAGATGTGAAAGTTTTTCAATTGAAATGTTATTCTAACGATTGTTAAGTTTGGAATGAGTATCTATGAGAAAGGAAACTTATGTAAGAAAGAAGAGAGGAGATTTCTGAGACCAATCTTATTATAAGATATAGACATCGTCTAAAATCGTTATTCCAATCAAAATTATGGTCATTAGTGATCCGATGATTAGAAATCACAGAAGAGGAAATTTTGTATCCTCCACAATGAGAGGAGCTATCTAATTTGTTCTTGTGGGTTTTAATAATATTCTGCAACGTACTTATTCTAGAGAAAGCACTTTTAAAAACCATAACTTTTTAAAACCGTAATGCAAACATTTTTCTGATATAGACTTATTAACAATATAACAAAAAGAATTATGAAAAAAGCAACCCATTAAAAGAAGGAGACTGAGATCTTGCATTTTTCCGTTTGTCTTTGTATATTCTTTTTTCTTTTTCTTATCTCTCCTTTCAAATTCATACTTCTCTTTTTAAATCTTTTAGGGTCACTGTATTCCTATTATAATATCTTTCTCTTTCTTTTTTATATATATTTTTGCACTCGTCTTTTTATTTCTTAATCCAATATTTCCTGAGTAAACTATTTTTTAAAAAAGAAAGAAGAGACATTACAAACATTTTTTAATATCATGATTATATCAAATTTTATATTTTTGTAAATATCTATATATTTCTATGATTCGGCTTGATGATAAGCTTTTAATGTCTCGAAAATTAAATGCGAATTTCAGATAAAAAGGTACATAAATCGTATAAATAACGTGTTTTATTTATGATGCAGGTTAATAGTGAGAATATGGGCAGCAACGTGCATCAGGAATATATATTGGACGACGACGAGTGTCCCTTGGCGATATTAATGAACCATCCTTCTACGCGAGGTAAGAACTTTTTCACATTTATCTCAATAATTACGTAAGAGATGACGTAAGGGGAAAGTTAATATCAGCTGATAAGGGCGGAAGTTTGATAAAGGAGGTGACAGAAGGGGGAGGGTAAAAATCGAATGATAGAGAGAGCGGTCGAAGGGGGATGCAAGGTTAGCAAAGGAGGACGACCAATGCCAATATCGCCTCAGTTGGCTCGCTGTCGTTAGTACCGGCACTAGTGCGCGGGCGCTGTCGTTGTTGCCTTCGTCTCTCGTCGTCTTTGCCCTCATTTCGAAGTCGCCATTCGTAGCAAAATAATGGCCCGCGATTCCGACAATTGAACATGTTGGAGCTGAAATTTGCGCAACGAGTCGAGTGCAATCGGTGATCCCATCTACAATGGAGATCTGATCGTTCTATAGTATTACCTCGCGTAAAAATATGTGATGATCTAACGCCGCGCTCTAACTACACTAATTCGTATACATTAATTTGTACAAATGTTTTGTCTACTTGAGAATGTTTGCATGTCAAATTCAAAGTTCCTGACCAGTTTTTGACTTTGCGTCTGTTCGCAAAAACAGGACGAAAGTGTTTTCACCCATGCTGGCATGTTTGGTGATCCATTGTGACTTGAATGGGGTAAAAAATGGTTGTACTATTTTCTCGCAACGAACGAATGTATAAATACGACGCAAAAGTATTAATACTCAGTGACGAACTCCGTTGACCTGTCGAAGCGTGAGAGAAGATTTAACAGCGATAAAACCGGATCCACCCACTTGCACGGTTATAATGTCCCGTAATCGCACGAAGATGCAAATATAGCCGCTACAATTATACAGAGAATAATACGACATGGAACGTTGAAAGCGTGACGTCATCGAACTCGATTAGCTCATCGTTGTCGTATATCAAGGGTAGTTCGTAGTGAAAGTAGATCCACCCACTCACGCAATTATGATACTTCGTACTCCGTACGAAAGGATAAACAACTGTTACGCACAAGTACGTCGTAAGAGCGTTAATCGCCGGCGCTGTCGCATCTGACGAGGGACGATCACGGCGAAATCTCAAAGCAGCACGTAAATCATTAGCTATTGTGTGCTTACAGACTGTCCTTATGAATCGTTCTGCGTTAATTATCGATGCGATCTCTCTTTGCAAGGTGCATCAGCAAATGCGAGCGTTAAGTGGGGAAATTGTCGACTTGAGAAATGTCGTCGACCGTGATTGACGACGATTGATCGTTGGATTTATCGTTGCACGTCAGCACTTGGCATCCTGAGCAAGTCACTGTCCAGTCATCGATATGACTTTCTTACGAGTCGCACAATCCGCAATTATGGCCTGTAAACACTGCGATTTTGTCGAGGACGCGATCAATATCTGCGGGAATTGTAACACGAGGTGCATTATTGTCGGAATCCGAAGCAGCGCTTTTATGCGATTATCAGCGCGATAGTGTGGACCATCCTTGCATATCGTTTTGATATGTTTATACACGACTATTATTAACGCGAATCCCAATTTGTACGCATCGACATTTTTCTCAAGCATAACGCCAATAGCGATTGTAAAACGTTGTTCAACGACACGACCAGTTAGGCAGGATTGTAATTCTTCTTCCTGAATTATGATTAATAATAAGAAGCGAACGGACATTGCATCTCCAATTTGTTTCCGATACTTAAGTCTGGGCGACGACACATAAGTCAAACACATCTGCCTTCCTCGCAAGAATAGATTGTGGATAAATTTGGATCTTGTCGCAAGTATTATTAGCGGGAATTGATGCGAGAAGAGATTTTATTACATGTCAACGCCTTCATCGAATTAGCAACTAGTTAAGATTCGTCTATTCGACCAGTTTTGAGGGACCAGCGAATTTTCAAGCTGCACGAGGAAACAACGAAGGAAGTGAACGGGAAGTGACAAGGAGGACCAATAATTAGCAGCAGCAATAATTGACGAAGGGACCACGGAAGTTTAGTAAATAAGACGATCGACGCCACTATGATGGATTGGGGAATACGACGTAAGCTGTTATTAAAGCTGGCAGAATCATGCATGACGCATTAGCTGAACTTTTTTTTGTTACATGATATGTGTGATATTATATGTTATGGAACCCCAATGTTAATTTATTAAAACGTATTATTTAAACATTACACTATAAATTGCAATGTCGAGAAGATTTCTTTTACTTAGAGATAATGTGTATCTCTTTTGTTCAATTTATTTTACTTCAGCAGAACGTGTTCCGCAAGGAAGTAGCCCTTACATTTTATTATGCAAACTTTTACTCGTGGAATTTTTCGATTACAAAGATTTGTCTTTTGTCTTGTTTGCATGCACATTTGACCTGATGTTAGAAAAATGAAATAATAGTGAATAATATCGAAAGGTACAAAACTGTAGTGCAGAAAGAATCAGCTGCGACAGAATTTTCGTAGTTTCGCCGCGATGCAAAATTTTCTCAATTTAGGATTTCTTATCAGTGCAAGTAGACATAAAAGAGGGTGTGTAATGGCAATGCAAATAAGAATGATCTTATGACAGTGCGAATAAAGGAGAGGAATAATTTTAGAAGAGAAGGAAAATGAGACCTAATGAAATTTTACTTTTCCACTAAATTGCAATTTTTATATTATGTTTTCGGTGTACATTGTGCACACTTTTTACACATCGCGCGCGCGACGACGAGTCGGCATGGCAAACGAGTGTGAACGCCGGAATTGGGTGCACGAAAAATCAATAAAACGTCGGAACGACAGCATGCGTTGTATGTCGACCTACATTTGAGCATTAACGTTGCTATCTTGGTTTCTCTAAAAAAAAAAAAACCGCCTAGTTTTCTCTTTTTTCATTCGATAGTAGTCACGTGCTCCGCTTTCGATTTTTTTTTGTACATATCAATACATAACAATTTTTCTGAATGAAATTGTTACTCGATCGGTAATGTGATGATGACGAATAACATTTCCGGCCGGAACTATTTGTGTCGCTTCGAGTAGTATCAGTATCGAGCTATTAAAGGCTGTCATTACATAATATATTTTATTTGTATCAATTATTGTACTCGAAGTGTCTTACATTAGATGCGAATTCCTTTTTAATCAATCTTTTCAACTGAAATATTACAATATTTAAGCTGTGTCAAGAATTGTAGTAACTTTATTGTATATACTTCATTTCAAACTATAGTTTATTTCTTTTAAATAATTCAGTGAACATTAATGCTGATTACATTGTGTTCGAATCGATATCAATAGATTAACAATTCCTACAAATTAATTCTGTATGTGACTATTAAAAGAAACGGCGAAGCAATCATAATGGTATGATAGATTAGTATCATAGGATAGTGAAAAGGGAGAGTTATTACTTGCTAATTGCATTGCCTCGTGTGGATCTGTTTTCTTCTTCAGACAACAGGTTATAAAAATATCTAACTTTGTAGATCAGTGTTATATGTGAAGAATGATATATATATATATATATATATATATATATA